AAGTGTTGAATTTTATTATGTTTTAATTTTGCTCAGTTGGGTGTCCATCGTGCCCATTTTGCTTGGGATTGTCAATATTTTTATATTTTAAATTGTTGTTTAATTGTTTATGCAATCATGTCTATTGCTTGGTAAGTTTTAGCCATTGCATGATGAAGTTCATGTAATCAAAATCTTATTTCATTGTAATTATGACTTTAAACAATTGAATATTTTGCATGAAACATTTTTGCTCGGTTGTGTTGCTTACAACTTCAGGATGTTTTGTGCGTCTTGTGATTTACTTGTGGCATATAAATTGATTAATCTGGCAGGAAAGACAAAAAATTATATATGATGAGCAAAAAAAGCTAGCCCAGCATCAGGCACAAACAAAATCTCAAATGGCTAAATATGAGGATGAGTTAGCGAGGAAGAGGATGCAGGTGTTAAAACTCTTGAAACTCGGAGCTTTTGTTTTGTCATTTTATGAGCGTATCTCAATGTTGCATTTTTTATTGGCAGGCAGAAAATGAGTACCACCGAGCCAGGAACCAAGAACTAGTAAAAATGCAAGAAGAATCATCAATCAGACAGGAGCAAGCTCGACGTGCCACAGAAGAACAGATTCAAGCACAAAGAAGGCAAACTGAAAGAGAGAAGGCTGAGATTGAACGTGAAACAATCAGAGTAAGGGCTATGGCAGAAGCAGAAGGCAGAGCACATGAAGCAAAGCTAGCAGAAGACGTTAACAGAAGAATGCTGGTTGATCGAGCTAATGCTGAACGAGAAAAATGGGTTGCTGCCATAAATACTACTTTTGAACATATTGGAGGTACATTTGTAAATTGTAACATTTCTACTAGATGCACAATATGCAAAGGCTTGCAGTCTAGGAAGAAACAACTGCCATGACATAAGTGTGTGGGGTGAATCATTTTGTATATACCCTACTGATTTTAAAAATCCAATTAACATTAATTTTGGGGTAACATGTTATTTTATCTTATTTTACTTTCATAATTGTGTTTGCACAGTGAACCATAGCCTATAACATTTGCTTGCTACTCAAAATATTGTAATTTGAGGAATGCCCTTGTTATTCACTTTTTTCCTCAGTATCTGATGCATTTTAGCATAATATTGATTAGCTCCATCAGTATTATTTCTTTAGTGGGTTAGATGAATTCCATTCCATACCAATCTGCATTAAAAAACTTTATCCATGTTTTGCAGGGGGGATACGAGCCATTCTAACAGATCAAAATAAGTTGGTTGTTGCAGTTGGTGGAGTGACTGCTCTGGCAGCAGGGGTCTACACAACGAGGTATACATTGTTCAGAAGGCTTGGAATGAACACCTCATTACTTGAATTACTCCTTTAGGATTTATTTTAGTAGCTTATATTTGGCACAACATGCCTTTCAAAGTCTATATCTCCTCAGTTAACTGCTCAATTATTGGTTATTTATGATATTTTTTATCATGCCTCTGTATTAAAAATGAGGACTGCGGGGCAATACCCCATGTACTATGTTTTTCAGTCTTATTTCTACATTGGATATTTCCTACTCCATGAAAAAATTGCACTTGGTGTTATTTGCATGCTAGAGTTGCATAGTTACATAATTTGCTGTGTGAGAGAATACATGGTGTGTGCTGTTTTATATTGACATTGAAATTTTCGGTCTAATCCAGGGAAGGTGCAAGGGTAGTTTGGGGATATATTGATAGAATATTGGGACAACCATCATTGATCCGAGAGTCCTCCAGAGGGAAATACCCCTGGTCTGGCATGTTTTCTCGTGCCATGAGCTCCCTATCTCGACGAACTGATCCAGGATCTTCAAAAAATGGAAATGGTTTTGGCGATGTGATTTTGCATCCTTCTCTTCAGAAAAGAATTGAACAGCTGTCATCTGCAACTGCAAACACAAAAGCACATCAAGCACCATTCAGAAACATGCTTTTTTATGGTCCTCCTGGAACTGGAAAAACAATGGCAGCTAGGGAGTTAGCTCGTAAATCTGTATGATTTTTCACTTATCTATTGATCTACCTGTTCTAATTTTCAAGTATTTCAAAAATCTTCCTTCTTGGGTCAAATAAGTGGGTGCATTGTTCAAACTTTGGCTTTTCCTATTTAATAGAGTAAATTTTACATTCTCTATTAATTGGTGTGAATACATCAACATATCAACAAACTATCTATACATTTTTATTATTTTGGTCGGTTTCATAACTTCTTCTGGCTATTTAGGCTTACAATTAATAAATCCTAAAGTATGTTTTATCGACTCACAAATTTATGCTTCCCTACTTATCTAAATCCATAATTTCTTGTTTGCATGAAATTCAGTAGTTCAAATAGAGATACTTACCATATTTCAAGTTATAGCATGCTTTATGAAACACTCAACTTTATCCTCATCATTTGCCTTTTTATGCTCATCAAATTTATTTTATTTTTTAACTTGAGTCTATACCTTTCAGATAAGTTGTTATTTTATTTAATTTGTGTTGTCAATTTAATGCAGGGACTAGATTATGCATTAATGACTGGAGGAGACGTTGCTCCGCTGGGATCACAGGCTGTAACAAAGATACACCAGTTGTTTGATTGGGCTAAGAAATCTAAAAAGGGTTTATTGCTTTTCATTGATGAAGCCGATGCATTTCTGTGCGAGTAAGCAACATGTTTTTCATTTATTTTATTTTGGTTCTCTTTGCTCATGACTACATAAGATGATATGATCAAAAGCAGCTAGATGCCGGCTCATTCAGGGTCATATTTGTTTGTTAAAAATGAAACTGACATTCTTTCAAGAATGTTCTTTGAAATGGATTCATTGCATTGGATGAATTTTGCAGGCGGAACAAGACTTATATGAGTGAAGCACAAAGAAGTGCTCTAAATGCCCTTCTCTTCCGAACTGGTGACCAGTCTAAGGACATAGTCCTTGCTCTTGCCACAAATCGCCCTGGAGATCTTGATTCTGCCGTAGCAGACCGAATTGACGAGGTTCTAGAATTTCCCTTGCCTGGTGAAGAGGAGCGCTTCAAACTTCTTAAGCTGTATCTGGATAAGTACATAGCCCAAGCTGGATCGAGAAAATCTGGTTTTGTTAAAGACTTGTTCAAAGGAAAACCACAACAAATAGAAATTAAGGGATTGACTGATGATATCATAAAGGAAGCTGCTGCTAAAACTGAGGGATTTTCTGGAAGAGAAATAGCCAAACTGATGGCCAGCGTCCAAGCTGCTGTATATGGAAGTGAGAATTGTGTGCTTGATCCAAGCTTGTTCCGTGAAGTGGTAGATTATAAAGTTGCAGAGCATCAGCAGAGAAGAAAATTGGCAGGTAGTGATAAACCTATGGCATGAGGATTTTTAGAGATTGTACAAGGAATCTTTTTATAATGTAGGGCTGGCCCATTGCATTCTGTTATGGGCATGCTGTTACTTATTGATTTCCCTAATTGATGGGAAGATTTTGGAATTTGAATTTTGTAGTCTTTCATTTACGCTGATAATCACTAATCAATATTCATCACTGAATGTAGCAGCTAATCCAGGGTTTGCTACCACGTTCAACATTCTTTTCTCCCATATCATAGCTTGAAAAACCTTCACTCTCTATTTTACTTTGTGTAATTTGTTTATATAGTATTTATTACAACAATAATATATTGTGGGTTTCAATAATATTGTTGGTTTGTAACTGGTTGATGGGTTGTTGGTTTATAGAATGAAATTAGTATTAGTATAGTAATACACAATGAGCAAATCTAATTTACAAGTTACAATTTACGATAGACGAAGTTTACTTCATCGTAAACAGGTCTATTCTATCAAACTTCATCGTCACTACCTAGGTGTGAAATATTGCTTAGGTTTTCAAAACGAAAGACTAAAATTTATCAATCAATTCAATTAGTGCGTTTGGGAAAGTTTCCCAATTTCACCTGTTCTACTGTTTAAATAAATTAGTTACAAATAAACTGATCTTTAGAATATCATTTGAAAATTAGTAAAATCTTTTTTTTCTTTTTCTTTTTCTATAAAACATTATATTTTTTATAACATGCTCTATTTCCTGTCAAAGGACAACAAAAAATAATGTAAAAACTTGTTAAATAAAAAAGTCAAAACCTTGAAACTATTATTACTTTTATACAAATAACTTGTGTCTATTTGTTTCATTTTTACATCTACAGAAATCAATGCTGCGTCATATCTTATAATATTTCTGTTAATTGTTCGATAAAATTTTAAATTTAATAATTACAATTATGATAAATTAGATTTTGGAATACCAAAACTTTCAAACCTGAAAATGCAAGATTCAATAATTCAACTATCAAAACTAGTATTTATAAAACTATTATAATAAATATATAACATTAAAAAAACATATTATCATAATGCTCAAATATGTTATAGACTTTCATATTTAAAATACACACATACATATATATAATTTCAAATAAAATGTTATAATACTTGAATTAAAATTTCAATAATATTTCTTAATAAGTAAAGTAAGTAAAAAACTTAACAATTTTAAGGAAAAATTCAACTATGAGAACTAGAGTCTAGAATTGGGAACACCAAAAAATCTCTTACAATCTCTGCTTCATTAGGAGCTCGAAGATAGAAAAAGGCAACTTCAAATGATCAAATGAGCCAGCTGCTTACCCTACATTTGAAATTGCTTCTTACATTCACTATCTTGACTCGTGAAAAAGTAGTGTAATCAGGATTCAGGGGCTTGCACATTAAGAATTACATAAAATAGATCGCTCAATGAAGCGGTACCTCCAGTCTCACAATTACTTACTGCACATAACAATATAACCCAACATCACCGGCAGATCATACATGAACATTTTATTTGGCAAATTGTAACAAAGAAGTATATTTGTTACGCCATGATTTAGTCAAAAACATTGTAACCAAAAACATTAATTTTCAGCAGAAATTCCGTACAGGCACACCAGAATACATGTATAAAGCAACCCTAATGGTGATGATCCTGAACATAACGTAGGCCACAATACTTGCAAACAGCTGGCTCGGGCAAGTCAAGGCATATGAATTCAATCGGGTGTCCAAGGGCAGGATTGATATCTGAAACCACGACAGCATTATCAAAATTAGTTATACTCCTATAACAATGTATGACCTGAAACTATATCCGCTAAATCTTGTGCATGTTCGAAGAGAAAATAATTTTTAAGAAAAAAAGCCGTACCTCCTTCACAAGCAACTATCCTTCCTTCAACCTTAATTGGAGGAACTTCATTAATCAGCTCCATCGGAGATTTCTTGCTTGTATCCTATAACAACAGTAGATAGAAACAAACGTAAGTTTCACATCTTTTGGGCACAATTCTGTAAGCAGGAATTCCTCAAGATTTCCGTACTCGAGATAAACTCCTATAAGCTAAGCTAAGCTAAGCTTGCAAACAAAGGAACATGCAAGAAGTTGGAGCCACTGAAAGGCGGTACTGCTATTAACTGACTTTAGTCAGTTGCCACTGTCATCTTTATTTTAGATCAGAGTAAAGAACATTGAAATTTCCCAAGGTTTTGTGAAATGCACAACCTTCCACTTTTCTCTATCTCTGTATTAATCCTTTCATTGCTCGAAAAACATTATACTGACACCTCTTATACACTATAACAATCCTCCTTAATTGTTAGAAAAACATTATACCGTGTAACCTTATAAGATATTGTTGTAAATGTTAAAAAAACAGGAAAGTTTGCGCAATCTCAGAAAACATTGAGAGATGTCGGAATAATTTACTCTTCGCCTTCTACGTGGATAAAACTCCAAAACAAACTAATAAGGCATCCGAACAAGCAAGAAATATAGGGGTAGGCAAGAAATAAACATAAACCAAATCAAATTGTTAAACTGATCCTTATTGAAGTAGAAGAGAAGATAATATCCAATAAACCAACTTTATTTCAATTCAGTTCTTTAGCAATGAAGCAGTTCAATTTAATTAGCCACCAGAGACCAAATTGCATCTATTTAGAGATTACTTTAGAATGTAGAATCCAAATTTTTAACAAATCTCTTCATCTCATTCTTTGAGGTTTCAACTCAGAATATCTGCGGATAAAAGCTGTATCATCGTAGATATCATTCAATGGTACAGATGTTTAACTCCTTGTTCACCCTCAAAGCTCTGCCACCGACACATTTTGAATCCACTGTCACTACTTGGTTAAATTGTTTGAAGCTATCATCATGGTTGAATCATTAGAAGTTCGCCTATATTGCTGATCAACTGTTCAAAATTTCCTTTATGAACTGATCCTTTTATTTTGTTGAATCAAGCTGGGAGAGATATCATTTATTATCATTGTGTTCTTGAATAGTTCTACATTCACATCATGGCCATCCATCCCTACTAATCAACCCTTCATTCCCAGTCATTCATTTCGTCTTACAAAGGAACCCATCAACGTAATATGATTGTTATAAAGCTAATGGCTGTGTATTTTCAGCATTTTTATTGGGTTTTGCTGCATTATAGTTGTCATTCAATCTATTATCTACAATTGAAGAAGTGGTTGCATCAATTTTATAGGTTGAACCAAATGAAACATGGATAAGCAAACCAGAATAAACCGGAACTGTTTGTCTTCTACCTGATGTACTGAACCCATTTGTTTGACCTGATATTTGCAATTTGGTTATGTTTTTTCATGAATACTACACAATGCTTACTCTTACGGATAGATCTGAAGGGAGAGAAATACATTCCCTAAACAAAAAAACCTACAATAACTCCCAGTAGGCACTATAGATCCCTTCCTTCAGGCCATGTTCAAACTTTAATTCCCACTTTCTGATTCTTCAAGTTTCCCTCCTTCAGAATGCAGATTTCTTCTGCACAATTTACTTAGCAAGCCTCTCACAGCAAATTTTCCCTTATTACATCCCCCCACGCTGGAGCATACATGATCTGTGATTGAGCCATCCCCAATGTTTATTTATTTATTTATTTATTTATTATTATTATTATTGTTGTTTATTTTATCTCTAATTGCATCAAGCTGTAAGATAGGCGTTGATACAGCACAGAGAGGATATTTCAAAGGGAAATGAATAGCACATACCCACAAATATCATAACAATAAAACAACAATGAAAGTAAAAGGGACCCAGCACCACCACATGCAATGGCTAAAGATGAATAATCCTGGGCAATGACGATGACCGTAGACACTTCAAAATTCTATCAAATAAGTTATGCAACTATTATCCAATAAATAATAGGCAACAAATTAAAAAAAAAAAAAAAGCCCAAAATTGATTCCAGAGCTAATTTAATGAAACACGAGATGCTTTGTTCGGGACATGCGACCAATAAGCGTGAGGTGATGTGCAACGACATAAAATGATATTTGGTTGTGATGGATGTACCTGCATCCACTTGGCGGTGTGGTTGCTGATTTGAGAGGTTACGAGGCAGAAACTTCTCGCGCTCGTGTTCCTTGATGACGAAAATCTCATGAGGTTCCTCAAAACACTCGACGCCATTTCCCAAACCCTAAATTCGATCACACAATTCGATTATCAGATCAATGAAGGACACGGGAAATGAAGGATTCGCAAATCGTGTTCTATCGTTCTTTCTGAATTGAAACCCACGCCCTCAGAGCGCAAAACGACAAAAGCTAGACACAAAATGTTCGTGAAGTGGTCGGGCCTATTCACGCTATTCAAATGGGCTAGCCCATTCTCTATTAGCCCATCATCTGGGGCAATGACTACGAGGGTTAGGCAATAATAAAAATTTCATCTCATCATAATCATGCATAATATAATATTCACACTATTAATTTGAAAGTTAAGGTTTTTCTTCAAAGAAAATTTTTAATTTAATCTTTCCATGATTTTTATTTTTTTAATAAATTGATATGAATGGTAAATGATAGTAGTTTACTATTGAATCTCACATAAAAAATAATTAGTAAAAGTAAACATTAAAGAAGAGACTCTTACTTTACTTATTTGGAAGCGAAAGCCCGATTATTGATTAAGGAACATAAGTTATTATTATTTATGTTAACTAATATTATTACATTTTTATTTTCTATTTGTTTTAGCATTGGGTAAAATTCATATAAAACCTATTTAATAGATAATAATTTAACATAAAATTTCCTAATTAAAAGGATAGAAATGTGTTTAAAAGACTATGTTACAACTTTTCCCTTCCGCACAAGTACTAAATTTACGGAAAGACTTTGAACAATATGATTTTCTTTTACATATAATTTTCAAAATAAGAGTGGATGTGTGTAGTTAGTAAGGAATTCAATAGGCATATATTGTTGGTATAAAAAAATTTCCTTATTGATAAATTAAAAACAATTGTTGGTATTGGTATACGTCTTAAGATAGTGTAAGAGTAATTTGTATCGTACATAATAAGTTATGATTCTATAGTATGTTAGGGTCAACGTAGCGACACCACTTGCCTTAGCAGAGCTTGGCTTTCACAGCATAAATATACTTCAAGCAAGTAGAGGGAATGGATGCCCCCAAGGAGTAAGTGTTTCTGAATACTAATCACTTTAGAAAAAACATTGCAGTAAGAACTTATATGGAAGGAAAATAAGATGAATGAAATTTCTTTTGTTAAATAAGATCAACTCCACTTCTTAAACAAGAGAATTTATGGAAAATTTCTTTCGGATTTATATATTTCATTCTATGCTTGTAGCATATGGCTCACACTCACATTCTGATCCATCCCTCTTTGCAGTCATCAAAATGTTGTAACAATAGATGTATGCGGCAAAAAGATCTGCTAAATTAATCAGGTTTGAATTTTCCCAATTCCCTTTTCTATCTACAATTGTTTGGGAACTAATCGATGTTCTTTCTTTTGCCCCTTACATATGAGGAATTCAACAAAAGCCATTTTGAGAATGCTTATAACGTCTCCTATGTGTTTATCATAGAAGCATGTAAAGTGAATTTAAAGGTTCAGCCTAAAAGTATCAAAATTTGGAGTGGTTATTATGATGGGAATGTAACCTAAAACGGCATTTTTTAAGTTTCCAAAAAGATTGCACGTTCTTAACTTTGTCTTAAGCTTTAACACGAATTGTTTATATCTCATTGCTGTCTCATGTGGGATGATTATTTTTCTACGCAAGTTTGAGTGTTAATTAGCGTATTTCTGTTTGTACTTTTTTTATTTCTTTCGTTTATTTTTATTTATTTTTTCATTTGGATGATAATTTGAGTATACCAGTTGATCCATAAGGTAATCACATGATAACTTACTCTCCTTAACCCTTCATGATTTTAGTCTCATTTTTCTTGTGCTCAAAGATCATTGTTTTGTTACTCACTTGTGTGCATAATCTTTAATCAAAACCGGTGAAGAAATAATGGAAGCTTTTAAATGACGGAATATAGAAACGCTATTAAATGAAAAACGAAACACCCAATTAATGTCTGTCAAGATATAGACACAGTTTAACGTGGCTTTGTACAGAATAATTCCTTTCCATCCATTAAAGTAAGTATTAATACGACCAAAATCAATTATTCCTCAAGAATCAGGATAAAACTTTCGCATTACCTGTAACTAATACACTCCATTCATTTTTTGTAGATGAATTTAGAACTCCTGTTAATAAAACTGCCACAACACTGTTAACACGCATGAATCAGATTCTAGACACACACATTTAAATAAGACAAATCAATTTTTCTGTTAGTAGCCTTCTAAAAGAATAATGTATGTAACATGTAAAATTTCTATCAAAATTATTTTGAATTGGCAAGAGGACCCTGACAAATGCTACAAAATAAACAAGAGCATTGGTCCAGATGCCAACTAAGCAGGAAACTGTACACTATAAATGAGTAAAGTAAAAAATTAATCCTATGCTGTTGGATTCCGTTCCATGATCTATCACAAACCCATATAACTCACTACAGATGGGGGAAGTTACAGTGAAAATATGTCGGAAAACAAAAAATTAAGGTAGTCAATGATGGATGATGGGCAAAGAAGGTTCCGAAGTCTACCGCTAACAACAAAGAATACATACCGGTCTGCTTCTAACCTACAGAATGATTTGGCTGTACTGATGAATAACTATTATGACGGTCTACCAACTGCAGCGAATTTCTCTACAAAATATACAACAATGCTTACATAAGACAACATAGTATGATAAACTTACAGATTAATGCTCTTGCTTAACCCTTGCCTTTAATATGCCAGGGAGGGGAGGTGATGTTGGAGGCCTATTTGACATTATTAGATTTGTAAGAGGACCCTGTGGCTGGGACAGGCCTGACATCCTAGAACCTTCACCTCCATCAGTAAAATTGTGTGTTGTATTATCATCCTGTGGTCTCTCACAAAATTTCATTGCCTTGAGAACATAATTGTCATCATGCAGCTCAAAAGGAGTACTGCAGAGCAAGAAAATGCATAAATAGTTAGTGGCAGAAACATTTCCCAACACGGGGACAAAAACTTTGCAACCACACCCGTTTCCGAACTTCTCTACTAGAAAATTCTTTTAGTGGCCTTGGTGTTTGACAGTATGACCAAAATAGGATGCACTAGTTTGACTTTCTTGACCTTATGACATAACTAGATTGCAAATTAAAGACAGCATTCGTGCTAAAAAAGATACTTGCATCATCAATCGGAAAGAATGGCAAGTGATGCAACAGTAGTTTTCTTACCTATTAAAATCAAAATGAACAAGCTGCATATCTTCTGATATTTCCACTTCCACAGTCGCATGAGGACGTGTCTACAGTTTTAAAAGACCAAAAATATGAGATTAAGTAAATAGCAATACCATAAAGAGCCAAATAACAGCAGGGTGTATAGATTATTCATTAAAATTATTAAGTTAGCAAACTGAATTAGGTGAACTTAGCAATACGAGTTGATAATATTCCTCTAGCCTATAGTTTGAATAGAAGTTATATTCAGTTGACAAATTTAAATGAACACCCACACAAAAAGTGACAACATATTTCTACTGAATTCATTATGCTGCTTAATAGGTTACTAACCAGAGTTAGTGATATTGTTAGTTAGGAGAGAGAGTTGTTTAGTTCTTTGGAAAGTAGGATATATAGAAAAATGAGGTATGTTGCCTATAAATAAGAAAAAGAAGTTGAAAGGGAGATTTTATTTTGTGAATTGGGAGGAAATTAGTATTTATGTGGGAATGTCCAGGGAATCATTTGTACTCTTTGTTCTGTTTAATAGAAGCTTTTTTATCTATAATTCTGAGCCGGTTTCTACTTACACAGATGCTGCGAGAATGGTTGGTAATAAAATATTTTATAAGATTCAAGATCACATTGGACAGCATTATATACTGGAAACCAAAGCACGAGAAACTGGGGTGATGGTGTACCTGTACCAGAATAAAAGGCAAAGATACACCTCCACTGGGAGGATTTCCTGAGCTATATAACTGCTCATTTCGTTGAATAAGGTTCTGAAGGCCTACGAACTTGACATAATAATACAAGTAATTAGCAAACAGAAACTAAATAAAAAACATAAGTAATTTGTCAGTGTCTTCAACAAGTCATATTTCAAATGCAGAGAACCAAGTCCACAAATTCATTCCCATGTTATATCTTTTATAGAGTGGGCAGGACTTACTTGCTCCTCGAGCTCCTGCAGATAGGCTGTTTTCTTTTCAATTCTATTCCTGAGCCCAAGACGCTCTGACTGTTGGAATCAAGTACATTTACAAAGTTATAATATTCTTCGTTGTCTTTTTTAGATTAGCTAAGAACATCACTACAGGAAATGCATAAACCACATGGAGCAAAATAAACAACTCCAGACTGTAGACAAACCTTTATTTCTTCAATATCATTCACACTAGTACGAGGAAGACCCTTCCATTGGATTTCCTTTTTATCCTTAGAAATAATGTCCATTGCCATGAGAACGTTCAGAGCATCATAGACCCTCCGACGGATGTTTTTCTCATCGTATTGTTGCTGACAAATGTTCACCTCACAAAAGTAAGTCCACAATGCTCATTTTAAATCTTCAATTTGTAATTGCACGCAACATTGAGATTGTTTAGATGAAGGAGAGAAAACCTGATCAGGGGTCAATTCACTATTGCTTGGATCAGAAAATTCAGCAACAAGCTCATCTGCCACCTATTAAATAATCAAAACAAATTTTAATCTAAAGACACAAATTCTATTCTATGATATAGAAACAAACAAAAGCAAGCTATCAATTCAAACCGTAGCAAAAAATGAGTTAAATTAACCACCTAACCTCATTATAAGTTGTTCTTCCCCTGCTTTCTACCTTCTCACACACTGGAGACATGCAACAATAAATGATAAGCAAAACCAGAACGAAAATTATCAAAACAACATGTACCTACGAAGCTCAAGAATCCAATTATAAACACTGTTATTGCAATTTCATATTCAATACTTAGCAAATAGAAAAAGTCCAATTCATATAACATGATTGAACAAATGAAAGACACCTTTCATGCTAAATTGGCGGAGACCTCTTCCACACTTATCAGGTCCAACGGCTCGTTGACCTCTCTTTTTCTTCTTGCCACTGCTGGTGAGAATCAAATATATTTTTGAGGAAATATAAATCAAACTCACAAAATTAAACAAAATTAAACAAAACTAAACAGCATTGTGCACGGTAAGAAGAAAAGAGAATGGATATCACTGACGCAAGAGAAGCCTGTGATCCAGCATCATCAGCATGTAAGTCGAGATGGTTCAATTTGAGGAGAGTGTTGTCGGCAGGAGGTGGCAAGCTGTTGGTGGAAGCAGATTGACCAGAAGCGGTGGGGGCGCAACCCAGCACCTCCTCGTCGTCTTCGTCTCCCATGTCAATAGAGAGAAGGCCTAGGGCACGCAAGATGTGGGAACAAAATTAAGAATCTATAATACAATTTGGATTCACTAGGGAACGAAGCAGATCTGAGTGACAACACCTGCTTTGTTTCTTCACTGACACCACCAATGCTGTTTCGCTCCAAAATTGATTTTTCAGTTTATGAATCTGAATGCACCCAAAAACACTGCATTTTATCAAATTTTCAGTCTGGTTTTAGAAAAAATATATATAAATTATTCTTTCATTTTATTTAGAATAGTGATGATATTTTTAATTTTTTTTATAGATATTTCTTTTTTTTAATGATCAAATTAAAGCTAATATAGGGTGCCAAATTAAAACTATTCTATTTGTTGAAAATTATTGTAGTTTTATAAAAATATTACATCATTTGGAGAATAACAATTTTTTTTCCTGAATATACATCTCCCATGTTTGTAACAAGTTATATTATTTATTTGAGATCATCTTACTTGTTTTTTTATCCTCTTGTTTTATTTAATTACATACTCTTTACATTTATATTTTACATTTGATTTTATATATATCAATATTAATTGATATAAAAATAATGGTTTATGCTTCTCAATAAATGATCAGAATTTAAATTGAGTTATATAATTTAAATATTTGTATCATTCATGATATGGTAAAAGGAGCACTAAGAGATGCTGATTAATGAAGCTTCTAAGAATATAAATATACTCACATTTTTAAGGTTCATCCTGAGAGTTGATATTGAATTCAAAGATATATATTTATGATTATAAATGTTTAGAATCTAACTGGTTAAAAAAATAATTAAAATTTATTTTTATTAAATTTTTTTACACTGTTTAGTTAGAATTTTAAATCCATATTTATATTTTTTTACCAAATAACTTATTATATTTAAACATAATATTATATATTGAGAATTAACGATACAATAATAAATATATAAAAATATTTCTTAAAGATTGATATATTACTTAATTATACTTTATTTATAACGTATTATATTTATAAAAATATGATAATAATTTTATATTATAAGTTTTATTATAAAATTGTTTAATTTATTTATAAATATAAAAACTTAAATTTATAAATATAATAAAAAAATCATAATTTAACTTTTTAAAAATGCTTAATAATTTCTTTAAAAAATATTTCACAATTTTTTCAAAAAATTATTTAGTAAATTTAGTAAAAAAAATGGAAATGATAGTTTAGTTTAATTCAAATTTTATATTAAATTAAAATTGAAACAAATTAAACTACATCTCATTTTTATATTTTTTTATCTGAAAGATTATTTAATAAAAAATAAATAAATCAAATCGCAAATCCCTTATTTTCAACCCTACTCTACATAAGTTTTTTAAAATTACAAATAAAAATTGCATTCTCCCAAATATTTTAAAATAATATATTTCTAAAAATATAACATAGTAACTTAAACAAAACACAAACAGGACAACCAACATATATCTGATTGTTTGTTTAAATTTAAATTATTAGATTTTGGTTTGTGCAATTGAAAATTATACACTATTCTACGAACTGATAGACATTATTTAAAGAGTGAAGATTGAATATCACCATAATAAAAAAAATATGAATTCATATTTCTAATTTATCTCATTGACCTTATTTACCTCTTAACATCAATATAACAATCGCACTAACATAAAAACCTATCATGAAAGAAAAATAAAATCACTCATAATTCATTTTTCTTTTTCTTTTTTTTATCTATAACAGTTATATATATATATATATATATATATATATATATATATATATATATATATATATATACTAGATTATTATGTTATGATATTCTAGCTGCTTTGGAATATAAGTGGGTTCACTATCTTTGAGTTCCCATGCAGGGAGGACCCTAATGATTATGAAAGGCTAATAATCTATCAAGAACACAAAAACATACAAAAGTTAACTTTGCCAATTGAATTAAAAAATAAATTAAACACAATTGTTTTAATTAAGATATCATGTTTTATAGTAACAATTATTTCAGTGAATGCCATCAAATATTCTTCTGAATGTGAGTGACCAATCTTGAACACTTTGGTATAAAGAACAATTCTCAGGTGGAGTCTGTACCCCCTCAAATGAACCTAGGTGGCTCCACCAATGTTGGCTTACAACTTGATCAAGTTTTTACTTTAGACAAGTCATTGCAAAAGTATTAATTAATTAATTTATTTATTTATTCTTCTTGTTTTTTCTAAGAAATCTAGAAATGAAATGATCCACTAAGACATATGTTTTGTTACTTCTTCACTGTTTCCTTGAATTGGTGGAAACTGGTGAAGTTATTTCTTCACTTTAGCATGGTGAGATTACAAGTAAGAATAGAATGTTTTCTTTGACGAGGGAATAACATTGGTGCTCTTGTAACAAGTGCTGTAAGCCTGCCTAATCACAGTCTCTCTCTATATATATGCCCTGAAATTTGAAATCTCTCGGTACAGTCCTCAAACGCATTAAAAGAGATAATGGAGGGAAATATATTTGTTTTAGATTGAAAAGAGAAGAATGGTAAAAAATGGAAGAAAGTAATGAGTAGGTGAAGGAATTATGTTGATGTCAAAGTGAGGGTGCCTCTACCATCATATGACAACGTCTTTTTCTCCTTCCAAAAGTCCAACTGAAAACAGCTTCTGTCTCCTTCTTGTTTCCGTTCTTTTGTGCAGCCATGCTATTTCTTCAATAAAGTGCTTCACTCCAACTTTGACCCTAATACATGTGTGTACGGGTCCCTATTATTATATAATACAGGAAAAGAGATCATTCAACAATAATACATGAATAAATAAGAAAAAAATTTTGTCTTAGTAGCCATCATTTACAAGGGTTCAGTGCACTATATGGGATTAAACATGGAACTGTTTTTAGTTCTACCATCTAAAGTACTGATTATAAATCTATAATAATTATTCAGTTTTCCTATTTCCTACTCAGTGAGAGTATAACATGATTTTTTCTGATGAGTCTATGCACTTTTTGTTCTTAATTATAAGACTATAAGTGTAAATTGTGTTATGATTTATGTTAAAAAAAGAGAGACTATAATAAACCAAAACAGTGTTGATAGAATAGACCACTTTCACACCAGTTTGAATATTGTTGTCTTCATCTCTTGAGGCCACAACTTGATTTTTACAGGACTCTGATGCAGTGAAAAAAAGAGAACAAAAATATAAAACAGTGAAAACGTAGAAAGTGGTGGGAGTGGGATATATTTTGGTCAGTAGCTAGTTCTATGGAACTCCAATGATAAGACCCATTATTTTGTCTACTTAATGCGAACCTAAGCTCTATGGATAGCAACGTCTCGAATCCTTGTGTCCATGGCATTGGACCCAAGGGGGAAATGGAGATTGTGTTACTGTTACATATTATAATTACGTAACGTTTTGGAATTTTCTTACAGAATCACGGTAGAGCAATGGAGAGAGAAGAAGGAGATGAAAGAAAAAAAAAAGTAGGTCTGCCACGAAGGAGGCTTAGAACCAACCAAGCATCCAATGAGTGATAAGATTAGACAGACAAAAAATGATAAACCGATGGATGTGCTGTGTGCATTCATAGTGATAGTGTGTCTTATGTGGTGGCTTTTATTTGTTTGGGAAGCATGCATTGCATAAACAATAAAAAACAAGAGCTAAGATCGAGTTGTCAATTTCTTCTCCGCATCTATCACTTTCTATCACCTATTCTATGTGATGGCTTATGAATTCATATTGTTGTTATCATCATCATCATCCTGAGAAACCCTTTCTATGATTTTCTTAAAATCTGGTATAACCAATTGCTTAACACCATTTGGATGGGAGAGTCATTTTAGCAAAATTTAAGGAGATTTCTTTGTCTTCATCATCTCAAAAGCTAATGCTTTATTTGTATCCTAATAAACGATAATGCTGTGGTGGCTCTGGTCAATTTTTTTTAGTTGATGAGAATCAATCTTTGGTTTACCAATCAAAATGCTACTTTGGACTAAGTTTTGTAATGAGTTAAAACTAAAAGCTGCATTCTCTGGTTCCATATAGAAATGTTCTGCTTTTAATAAAATTAAAGATTTTAGTATCCTTAAATTTGGTTGGAAATTTCTCTTCATCCATATAAGACAAAAATGATTAAATAGGTTAATTGATTTGTTCCTAGGTTTGATTTTGTCATATATAATATTAACAAGGCTACTATGTCTGGATCATGGTACTAGTTTTCATGGTTTTTTAGGATGGATCTAGTGTTTTCGTGGGTGACTATTTTTTTGTATTGGTATTTCTAATAATTCTTAGGTAGAGCTTTTGATTATTCATGAAATAACTTTTTAGTTGCTTATTAAAAACTTTTTCAGTAAGTACTTTAGGTCCCTAAAGGATTCAAGGAAAAATGGTTGAGAAGTCAATATTTTGTTTTACTCTGTGGTTCTTTATTATTTATGTTAATTGCGGAGCAAACATGTATGCATTGAGGACAAATATAAGTTTAATTAATAAAAGTAACTTCTTATGGTTAAAAATAATTTTACAAAAATATATGCATTCTTTGAAATATAAGCTTTATTTTGATATTATTATTATTATTATTATTATTATAAAGTTTCATTTTACTAAAAAATTTTAGTCACTATGAAGTATATCCAATACACTATGATTTATTATCTACACAATGTCTCTACATCAAAATAAATAAATAATTTTTTATCTAAATATTTTTAATAGATAAAAACCATCATAATATTTATTTTACATATCTTTTTTTTCCTTTTTTTTCTTTCTTTTTAATGGTAAAAAAATAAACTGATGATTTTGTGTTTAAAATTTTGAAAATAACATTGTTTAAATATTATCATATTCAAAATTTTAAAATTTATTAAACTTTTAACTTTTTTATAACAAATTATTTTCGAATTTTTGTTACATTTATTATGTAATTTTTTATTTTTAATATAGAATGTTTTTATACACACTGCATAATATTTTTAATTAATTTTTTATTTTAAAATATTACGTTAAATTAATATTTGATTATAATTTGAATTGTTAAAAATAAAATACAAATAAAAACATTATAAAAGTTGTTCATTAAAAGAAAATTTATAAAAATATGATATAAGTTATTTAAAAAGTAACCTTACATATTTAAAATAAAAATATATTATATAAAAATTAACGCATAGAACTGAACATATTCCACTGATTAATAAAAAAAATTAGATTTGATATACTAACATTTCTATTCATTCCACACATCATTTAAGAATATAAAAAAAAATATAAAATATAAAATTTAATTATTTAAAAATTAATAAAAGTAATGGTTGATATGTTAATTGTAATATAAGAGTTGTGAACCTATCAAATTTTTAATAATATTTTACACTTATTATACACAGTTATAAAAGGAGGTGACGGAATATCCATAAAAAAAATATACTCTCATTTTTTTTTTACATATCAATTTATTTTATATTATTGACTAAAAAATAATCACGAATATTTTTGTAAAAACAAATTAATACGTCTTTAGAAAAAGAATCATACAAACTTAAAAAAAAAAAAATCCTGCCTGAGCTCCGTTCATGAATTTCTTCTGGATATAATATTTTTTTTAAGGAAATGAGTAGTAAAAGAAATAAGAATACGTTGTATGCTCTTGTATTAAAAAGATCGTGTGTATAAAATATTAGAAAAATTAAATATTTATAACTCGTTTTAAAATATTTATTAACTTTTTAAAATTTTAAAAATTTATTTACAATAAAATAGTTTTAAAAAGTAGTTATTAAAAATTTAAAAGTAAAATATATAACATTAATAATATACACACACTGTTAATCGAAGGGGTTAACATTATCTTACAATTTCTGTTATAATTTATTTTTACAATTAATGTCAATTTTTTTCTTTTAAAAAATTAAACACTTTTTTTAACTTATTCTTAAAAAAATCCAAAATTAAATTACTTATTTTTTTTAAAATTAATAATTAAAATTGAATTAATTTCTATATTCATACAAATAAATGACTAGCTATAAAAAAAATGAAACATAATATATTAAAAAAAATTTCTATATAAATAGCTTTAATATAGGCACAATGTAGTAAGTTTTTTACAAGTATTTTTAGCGTAAAAAAATAAAAAGAATAATTTATTATGAAATAATGGTATAATTAAAAAAAATTAGAAAATTAAGGGCGATTAAATTAAAAAAATGGTAAGGATGAATGAAGTGTATAAAGTAAAATGTTGAATAAAATAAAAGGTATGGGAGAAAAAGTGCGGATAATTAAAGGTGGGGCTATTAGGTTTTAAAGATAAGCAAAGTATGGCTGCCTTTGATTTGTTGTCTAATCATGCTAACATTGACTCAGATAGTGACCTTCATTTTTCTCTTATGTTTTCATTACCACAGGGAGTTGACTGAGTGATGACGTGGATTACACGCAGAATGAGATGAGATGGTCCAAACATCCGTCAAAATATCCTCCACCGCTGTTTTCCATTCCGTTGCTCCAAGCACCTGGACCCCACCTTTCCTAATACTCTTCTACCCTCTGGGCCCACCCAACCCTCCTCTAAATAATACTTTCTTTTTTTAATTCATCAAATATATAATTGAAGAGAAGGTTTAAAAAAATAAATAAATAATTCTAAGATGTAATATTTTGGAAGTTAAATTAAATTTTATACTCTTTATATACCTTTAAATTTCAATTTGGTTCCTTTAGTTAAAAATAATATATCTAATTAATGCTAAAAGTATGTTGGAATCAAAACGTACATTCTTAAATTCAGATAGAAAACGGTATTATTTAATTAGAAAAACAAATTGAAATATTTGAAATAAAATGATTAAATTTAACGTGTTTTTTTAACAGTATACTTAAAATGCTCTGCAAATGTCTTTATTTAGTTTAATATTTTATTAAATAAAATAAAAAGAATGAACAGTACTTTGATTTTTGCAGTGCTGTGCCACAATTTTGCTGCTGTAAGCTGACATGTGCACAGTATTGTGGCAGCTGGAGCTACTCATGTTAGAGTAATAAAATTATTTTTCCTATTTTTGTACATTTTTTTTCTCAAATTAAAAAATTATGCGCATGTTATTATGTTAACAGGACCAGGTATGAAAAGAAACAATACAAAATTTAATGTTATTAGTTATTATGAAATATTTAGAGCATGTGGAGCCTATTTTTTTCACATAGTTTGAAATATAAAGTAATTAAACCTACAAAAACGAAACAATTGAAAATGAATATGCATAAACGATAGGATAGCTAGAAATGAAGTCACATGCGGGATCACGTGAGAGCTTACATAAATAATACAACTTTGCTACTGCTACTGTGTAATAATTATGATTAATTTAATTTATCAGATAATAATATTAAGAAATATAATAAAATGTGGGACCATTGGGATGGCGTCTTTTTGAAATGGCTTTAATCAAGTTGTCGTTCTAGGTTGCCTTGCTTCTTGGCTCTCTCCTCCCTTCAACGGTTCAATCAATCAGCCCTCACTCACTCGCTTACTTACTCACCCTCTTTGGATTTTTTTTTTTTACTTGCTTCAGTTCACACTTCCTTCCATTGTTGCCACTAAAAAGGATCTCCATTGGTATTTATATTATTCTATACATAGGTAGGCTACTACTACCACTACTTCACTTCACTCTTTCTCTCAATCTCTCTCATGAAATGCAGTGATGTGATTTGCAGAGGAGGAGGAGAAGAAGGAATGGCTTACATGTGTGCAGACAGTGGGAACCTCATGGCCATTGCGCAGCAAGTTATCAAGCAGAAGCAGCAACAAGAACAACAGCAACAGAAGCAGCAGCAGCAACACCATCTTAATCCTCTCTCTCTCCACCCAATTCCATGGAACAACACTCCCCCTCTAGGCTACCCTCTACCTCCCACAGACTTCCCCGACCCCTTCCAACCCGATCCCCCATTCCACTTCCCGGACCCTCACTCAGCCCCTCCCCCCGCCCCCTTCCGCTTCTCCGATTTCGACTCCGACGACTGGATGGACTCCCTCATCGCCGCCGCCGACACCCCCTCCTGGCACACCAATGCCGATTTCCCCTTCCCATCCGATCTCAACCGCCTCATCTTTCCCTCCTCCGACGCCGCAACCGCAACCGCCACCGCCTCACTCCCCCTCCAACCAACCCCTCCCCCGGCGCCGCAGGACCCCGTCAACACCACCCTCTCCTCCGAAGCCGACTCCGCCCACCCGCTCCTCAAAGCCCTAACCGAGTGCGCCTCCCTGGCGGAGTCCGAACCGGATCAGGCAGCGGAATCCCTAACGCGTCTCAGAAAATCCGTATCCCAACACGGGAACCCCACTCAGCGTGTGGCCTTCTACTTCTGCGAAGCCCTCGCCCGTAAAATATGGGCCGAGAAAGAGAAGGCCGAGCCCAACACCGGAACGACTTCGGAGGAGTTAACACTCGCTTACAAAGCCCTCAACGACGCTTGCCCTTACTCCAAGTTCGCACACTTAACCGCCAACCAGGCCATCTTAGAAGCCACCGAGGGCGCCTCCAACATCCACATCCTCGACTTTGGCATCGTCCAAGGGATTCAATGGGCCGCGCTCTTGCAGGCCTTCGCCACTCGCTCTTCCGGAAAGCCCAACAAGATCAAAATCTCCGGGATTCCCGCCATCGCTCTCGGCGTCTCGCCCGGCCCATCTCTCTCCGCCACCGGCAACCGCCTCTCCGAGTTCGCCAAACTCCTCGACTTGAACTTCGAGTTCGCGCCTATTCTCACTCCCATTCACGACCTCGACCGCAACAGCTTTTGCATTCACCCAGACGAGGCCTTGGCCGTCAACTTCATGCTCCAGTTGTATAACCTCTTGGATGAGCCTCCAACCGTCGTCGACACCGCCCTCAGGTTGGCCAAATCTCTCAACCCCAAAATCGTCACCCTTGGTGAGTATGAAGCCAGCTTGACACGCGTCGCCTTTCTCAACCGCTTCAAGACTGCGTTTAACTACTTCTCTGCTCTCTTCGAGTCCCTCGAGCCCAACTTGCCCGCAGACTCGCCGGAGAGGTATCAGGTCGAGAGTCTTCTCCTCGGACGCCGAATCGCCGCGGTCGTTGGCCCTGGGCCCGTTAGGGAGAGCATGGAGGCAATGGAGCAGTGGAGGGTTCTCATGGAGCGTGCTGGCTTTGAGTCCGTCAGTCTCAGCCATTATGCAATTAGTCAAGCCAAGATACTTCTTTGGAATTACAGTTACAGTTCTCTGTTTTCGCTGGTTGAATCTAAACCACCGGGGTTCTTGTCTCTGGCTTGGAAAGATGTTCCTCTCCTGACTGTCTCCTCGTGGCGTTAATGGTTCTTCGCCTCTCCAATGGAAAGGGTTTCCACCTGGTCCTTTTTTCTCTGGTGTGGAACGACTAATTATTAATTAATTGTCTATATGCCACGGAGGATCGATCCTGCCATGCTATGTTCTTCAATTATGCAGATTTCGTATTTGAATTCGCAGGCGTTGCAAGAATTGAGGGTTTTGGGAGAATTGACACTTTTAGCAGTTTGGGTCCTCTACTAGTTCCACACCCTTACTTTCTTCTTTTGTTTTCCATTGATTTTTTTTTCTTTCTTTCAAGTTGCGTTTTTTTTTTTTTTTTTTTTTAATTTAGCAACGGTGTTATTAGCTTCAAGACATGGCTAGGCAAACAGTGACAATGGAAATAGGAAGATATGGGATGGAAAGAGCTTTCTTTCTCATTGCTTCTGGTCATTGTGACTCTGTAAATTGGATTTTGTTGTATGGATTTAAATTGGTCTGAATATCAAAGGATTTTTATCTTCACTTCCCCCACTCTACACACAACATAAGTGTTATAAATAATTTCCTTCAGAAGATGCAAAACTGTTGTCTTGGTTATTTACCTTGTCTGTGCAAGATGGATTCATTTTGGTCCAATGTAATCTGTTCCCAACTTTGTACTTGCTGGAAAAATTATTGTTATCTGAAACGTAGTGTGATTGTTGTTGGGAAAAATGTCTGAATATTTACTCGAGGAGAGATTCTTTTTAACCATTTGCGTGTATGATTGAGTGTCGAGGGAAAACCCGGGGAGGTGTTGCGTGGAAATTGGAGCGTGGTGACTGAGGACCTGACCCACTCTTTTCTCTGGCATCCTATATTATTCATGCACAGTCAACTGTGAAAAAATGTGTTATCGTACTGTCCAAACTTACTATTTTGTGGGGAGAAGCATTGGCTGGCTAGGGGAGGAAGCCACTAATTTGGTTCACACCATCTGATCTGAATAAAGCTTGTTTCTTTTTGTGTTTTTTATGAAAGTTTAGACACATGGCTTTGTTGCTAGTGGTGGTGATGTTTCTCAAATCTATGGGCCATATGGAGTGGCTTTGTTGTGTGTCTCTTTCGTGCTGCAATGAAGCTCCTTGTCTTCCTGGCACGGCAGAGACGGTGAAGATGAATCAGGGTCTTTATGAGTCGAGAGCGTGACAGGGGAGACTGCCACTGCTGTTTCTGGGCTTGAGTGATTGCGACAAGTCAAGGTGGTGACTTGTGAATAAGACGTTCTCTTATTGAACTTGATTTGGCAAAGGGTCCCATAAACGTAGACTACACTTTGTGAGGCTCGGTATGCGTCCTATTCCCCACTTTATATGGTGCTTCATAACTCACCCAGTACCTTCCCTCATCTAGAACGCCATGCCCCACTAGGCAAAAAATGAAACCCAAGTGTTTCCATAACAGAAAACTGTCATCCCACATGCTTCGTTTTTTATTTTATTTTTCTCCTAGAGAGAAACGTATTCTTAATTCCTTCTGATTGCTATCTGTGAAACTTTTGTTAATCAACAGCTAAGATTGGAATTCTCGGGAGTAGTAAAATAGAAACATGGAAAACGTAACTCTGAATCGATGCCGTACATTGGGATTAATTGAATTCAGAGAGTTTCTTTTAGATTTGGTTTGCTATATGACCACGTTCTTTCTGGTTTCCAGGTCACAGAAATATATCAGAAAGGAAAACCGTAAGTATACAGGAAAATATGCATTGGTTATTCAGTCAAATGAAAAGGCAAAATAGCTCTTCTAAACGGAAAAAACTTTTGAAGTGTACTTGTCTTCGCAGTTATTTAAAATAAATATATAGTGGAATTAATCTACTTTAATCCAAAGATAGAAACGCGTTCATTTATGCACTTTAATGACTGTTCTGAGCTTTAATGACATTTTCTTTTCAAGTTTTAGCAAGGCACCAAAACCTAAAAAGTGGTTTTTAGTTTGCAGTTCTATTAATCGAAGTTGCTATTGTTTGTAGTCACTGGCTATAAGATACAAAGCCAATGGCATGCAGTTGAATTATCAAATCGTATCTTTAAATTTTGATAACTGTTTATCTAATCAACAAAGTTTGCAACTGCAGTTTGCTTCAACAAAACTCTTTCGTTAAGCTTATGTTTACACCACATGTAAAAATCTCTAATACCCTACAGGGTTGTGAAAAGGATGTCAATAGTGACATTTGGTAGCATAGTAAACTCTCTATTTCAGTGATTTGGTGATACAATGTAGATAGGGTTCTGGAAGGAGCTGGTGGACAACTTGTTCAGATCACTTTTTTTTTTCTTAGTGTTTAATGCCATAACAGCTCCCGGTCCCATAAAGTTGTGGCCCATTGACTTCTTCATTGGAGGGAATCTCAAAATAACTTATGTCAATGAGGAAATTGTATTTATGTAGAGCATTGGATCAATTTCTTTGTGATGCAACCAGTGTTTTTATCTTTATGGCAGTGCTCCCTGATTGGTTGAGGTGGCTTGCAGTTGCACTCTGTCTCTGTTGGCAACTCTAATTAATTCTCTAGCTAGTATCTGGGGTTTGAGCTGTCTGCTTGTTTAATTAATTTCGTGCTATCTTGTTCGTGTGATGATAATTCAGATTATGACACTGGATAAGAACCCTTATGATTATCTTGATTTTCACCGTAGTCATGAATACTTAAATTGCTTTGAAGACTGATGCTGAGTACACGAAAGTTTTGCTGACTTCTTTGAGAGCCGTGGTGACAGTGGCTATCGTTTTCACTAAATGGTCATCTCAATTACCCTTTTCTTGTTTTCTTGTGCATTTGTGAAGAACGGAGCTATCATGATGGTCCATATCATCAATCACTTCCTCTCAAGGTTTGACGAAATGGTACTGCATAATTTGCAGATGCCCAATAGTCAAAAACTGGTTAACGAATAACTAACATAAACATAATCGTGTGTTGCTATGATGGTTTACGTATGCAAAGTGAACATTAATTTTTGGAGGCTCAAATAATATAAAAATCATAAATGGGGTCATTCCACCATGCACAATGCAATTTGCCTTTGTACTATTTTGTGACCGATTTCTGTGGCTTCTTCAATGTAAATTATTAGCAATGGACTCTAAGATAGGAAGTTTCTGAGAAACTCAGGTTTTCACTTCATCCCATTATGTACACCTCTCTTACTATTCTCAGCTCTCCTTAAACATCAATTTGTCACTTCCATTCCCACCATTGAAACTTGGATGGTATAAGCAATTCAATTATTAGCAATCCCAATTACTGGACTAGTGGATTAGTGGATTTGTTCCTCTTCCTTATTATATTACGTTATTTTACTCCACTTATTTTTATCACATTAATATATGCATTTTTCATTTAAATCATTAGTATATAAAGTTTTACCTAATGATAAAATATTAAATGGAGGATGCCAAATGAGTATGTTTGGAAATTTTTTTTTTTTTCAAATTTAGTATTTCGTTCTATTAAACCAGAACGAGAGTTGAATTACTCAACAATTTGACGAATGACTCTGATTCTCACTTTTTGAATCTGCTGTACTATATGAAGAAAATAATGACGTAATCATGTAAAATTGTAACTAGGCATGGCAACGGGCTGGCGGGGCGGGTTTTGCCTCCCGTCCCCGCCCGACTTTTTAACCATCCCCGTCCCGCCTCGATCCCACGAGTTAGGAATTAGTCCCATCCCCGTCCCGCTCGGGTTTCGGTTCCCGCCCCGCCCCGTCCCCAATTTATATTATTTTTAAAAAGATAATTATATTTATAATAAATTAATTTTACTATGTATTTTTATATATAAATAAATATTTATAATTTATAGTTATTATTAATTAAATATACATTTTAATTTATTATATTTATATTAAAATATATATGTAAAAGAAATATTTAATTATTTTTTATTTATATATATATATATATATATATAATATTTATAACATTATTATTATTATTATTATAACACTCGTATTCAAATATTTGAATATTTATAACATTATTATTATAATACTGTATTCAAATATTTAATTATACATATAAGTTAATTCATTTTTAAGTTGTCAATATATAGTTTATAAGAAAATATTTAATAAGTTAATTCTTATTTAATTAGTTTGAAGTAATAAAAGTTTAAATTATTAATTTCTTTTAATCCTTTAAAATGCAATTATTTTATTAAGATAAAATTTGATATATGATAAATAAGCATAATAAGATAAAAAAATATGGCATAATAAATATAAATTATAAATAAACTAATATTAGTTACTACTAAGATTGATGTAAAATATTTAGAAAAAGATAAAGAAAAAAGATTAACTTTGTGTTCATCAAATTGGTTGAAAAGATTGAAAAAAAACAAATTGATGGGAGAGACTAAGAAAATGTGAAAAACTGAAAGATAAGGGAGAGAATAATATAATAAATTAATTGATATAAAAGATTGAGAAAGATAAAAAAAATTAAAAAGTGGGTAGAAGAAAAATAAAAATTGGTGAAATATAAAAAAATAACCTTATATGTAATAGAAAAAGAAAATGAAATACTTTTAAAATATTAATATTTTAAAATTTAAATTTAAATATAAAGTCGGCGTGGATGGGGTGGGTCGGGTGGGGATTGCATTACCCATCCCGCCCCGCCCCGACTTTTTAAAGCTGGAAAACCCGAACCCGACCCCGCCCCCGGTCAACTCGGGATTTTCCCGTCAAACTCGGGGCGGGGACGGGTCGGTCCCCACGGGTACGGGTTTAATTGCCATCCCTAATTGTAACGTGCTCGCGTGTGACTCTCTGACTTGGAGCTTCATTGTTGATGAATATGAATGGTTATTCTATGGTACTTTTTTTTAATAAATGTGAGATTGTTGGAGAATGCTATCAAGTGTAATTTGATAAAAATTTAGATGTAATTTTTTTTTTCTAATATAAAAAAAAAAAAGCACTTTTCGATGCATCCTTAGTTTGATATTTATTTATTAATTCATGACTTGTACTTTTAAGGTAACAAATTTACACTATTAAGCAATTGAAAGTCATCTTTAGAGTGATTTTTTTGAAAACGTTAATATTACAAAGACAATAAGGTTACCATATATATATATATATAATACATTGTTTATTTATATAATGTGCATTACAGATGCAGTGTATTAAAGAAAAGTTGCAGAGTACTAAAGACAGATACATATAGAGATAACAAGGTGGTGACAGATTAGAGGCATTTGGCCTCGATCTCCTCCAGTGTAAGCCCCTTGGTTTCTGGTACAACAAGGTATATGAATGAAAGAGATGCCACGGCTATTACACAAAAGATGTAAAACAAAATTCCTGCTCCAAGTAATTCCTGTAATGAAAACAAAGACAAAGTGTCAGACAGGCAAATTTGTTGAAGTCAATGGGTTCACTGAATAGCATTTTCAAAATGATGTTTCATTGCACACCGTTTTTAACCAAATACACAGTAAGGGAAAATTCTCAACACATTAAATTGAACACTAACTTAAATCAACAAACAAGGCCAATGCTATTATATCACATGCTTTTCTATGATGCGGTGAGATCAGATTTTTGTAAAATATGGCAATCATATGGTTGAAGATGGTGATGATCATGACATATTTAAAATATATATAGTGAGTTATGATCTCCTGTTTAAGTTCTACATCACCTTCAGTGGGGAAAAAGCAAATGTGACCAGGGCATTTGCACCAAAATTAACGAGTACAGCTATACCAAGTCCTCGACCTCTTAGGCGCAAGGGGAAAATCTCTGCTATCATGAGCCAACCAATTGGACCAAAGGAAATCTGAAAAAAGACAATGGAGAACCATTGAAATCACACTGCATGGTATAAGCATTATGAGAAAGAAAATTATATTCCTTATGCTCTCAGCTAGCTTCAGTATATATGATCTAAAGAAGGATACAAAAAGAAGCGTATTCACCTGGTAACAGCCTACGTACAACAGCAGACCAACTACAGCAACAACCGGTGCATTATCCAAGAAAACGTAATATGAACCCAGAAGGAATAAAGAGATCACCTGTGATACAAATAAATACGACTTCTTAAATTTTAAACCATGATCCTCTTCAACTGAATTTTCATGTCAAAATTATTCCTCTCTTTTTAATTAGCTAAAATGAAGCTAGCCATCAATGCAACACTAATTAGTAGACTGGCCTAAGCCTCTATATTTGAGATAGAACTGGGGAAGTGATCTTTTATCAGGAAATTACTACCAAAACCATCCTACAAGAAGGAACTTACTATTCCTGAAACTCCCCCAAGTAGTAAAGGTCTCCTTCCAAGTTTATCAACAACGACAACGGCAATTCCTGTCATAATCAACTAAAACAGAAACAAACGGTTATACATTAGGCAAAAAGAAAAATGCGAAAGGGGGAGGGGAGGGGGAAGACAAGAACAATGGGAAAATAGATGATTCACAACTAATGGCATCACAAGTTTACTTTTTTCCCTTTTCCGTTGCTGAAAATGTGATGCATCACGTTAAATGGAAAGGAAATGACCGTTCTTACTAAGAATTGTTTCAGAACTAATGGTATTTATCAAGAATTTTTGTATAGACATTGGAACTCACAAACATGACTCTTCTTCGTTTGAAAATTCGAAATCAATTAAAAATGAAAATACAGAAGCTATGATCAATAAATGTCTAAATTTATAATCTATTAAAAGTCAAACAAAAAAAAATATTTTTGTTCTGATAAAAGGATTTGTTAAGAAACACATAACAGGCATATAATTTGAAGAGACAGTATGTATACACCGAGCTTATTGCACATTATAAGAACAACAAAAAGTTAGATAAAAGACATTTCAAAGCTTGAACAATAACATCATATGGACAATACACTAATTCAATTTTTTGTATGTTGTACGTCAACCTACTAGGGGTGGCCAAATTAGTCGGCCAATCCAATTTTAGCCTATCCCGCCTCTGGCCTATCAAAAATAAGATAGAATGGGACCTGTTATAGTCAAGACGGAATGCAGACTTCTAGTCTATCCCACCAAAGGATAGATTGGTGGTTTAACAGGCCTACCCGCTAATATTTTTTTATATATAATTTATATGTATTTCTTTTTAAAATATATCCTTAATTATATGAATATTTTTTAATCTTTATTCATTAATTAAAATTTTTATTAGATAAAATTACTATATTTGTGTGTTAAAATATCTAATTATAATCAATAATTTAAACTTAATTGAATAATATTTATGATTTAAATTATAATATTATAGTATATTTACATATTCAAACAACCTAACAAAAAAAAAATTTAATCATAATCATTCTTATTTTAATTTTAATATGTAAAGTAGGCTAGCGGGTCACCTCACCCCTCCAATTTGACGAAGGCTATCGAAATGGCCCGTTAGATGTAATCTGTTTTGTCATCGTTAAATGCAACTTACAAAAAAACTAGTATAGTACTGCTTTGTTTTAACACAATTACAATTACAATGTGAAGAAATAAGATCTACCTTAAAAACCCCAAGGAGAATAGAGACTCGGGTTGCATCAGATGCTCCAGAGAATCCTGCACTCTACAAAATGGATTGGATTATAATTTTATTTTACTTCACTCGTACAACATAATAGATTAGATTATATGAATTTGCAATAACTTTCCTTGACTAAAATTAATATAATACCTGAAAGATTGATGCAGCATAGTAGAGCACACTTGGTTGCCCTGTGATCTGTCATAATTTGCAGACCGCAGTGTGAGTATATTAAAATGTTGGCATCTGTGATCATTTTTACCATTTTAGTTGAGTGATTGCAATACCTGCTGAAACAAGACCAATCCTGCACCAATCCAAAGGGCCTTCAAACATTTTCCTTGGAATATTTCTCCAAAGGTAATTTCTTTTTCTTCACCGAGACAAGAAAATTCTGCAAGAATCTCATCAACTTGCCGCTGAGTTGAATCACCAAAAGCCTGACCTCGAAGCTGGCGCAAACTACAAATTGCTAAGTCTTTCGAATTCTGAACATCCCCTTTTCCCTGTATAGCACGCAAAAGTAACCATCTAGGAGAAGCTGGGAGCCACCACATTCCAAGACCCATGATTATTGCCACAGGACTACTAACTCCGTACATATACCGCCACCCAGCTATAGTTTCTACAAACAAGCTACCAATTCCATATCCTGCCTACACAATTGATATGTAGTCATTTTTTGTAATACCAGAATATTCAAAGCTGAAAGTAATTTGATAGAATATTGTTTCTGATGAGGCTATAAAATAGTAGAAGGAAATATTCAAAAAGTTTGATTCAATTATCACGTTTGTAGAACACATGAGAAAATTTAAAGTCCTCCCAGAAAGTTTAAGAACTGAAGAACTTACAACCATCCCAAGTACGATAAAAAACTCTTTTAGAGATATTAGTTGTCCACGAATTGGTGTTGGAGTTGTCTCTGCAATGTACATTGGAGCAGCGTGCATTGCCTAAAATAGATAAAATTAAAATCATGTATCTTGTTTAAGAGTTAATAAGATAAAGTATACAACACCTTATTTAAAGTCTTATATCTGCACAGATTCTTTACCTAACAATTCCTTTTACATGCAGAATAACCTATTTTTTCTATTCATTTCCATTTGTGCACGTTTTATTCCAGTGCAAGCATTTCTAAAATTCATTCCAAACTAATCCAACTGGATATATCACTCTTAATTAATAACAGAATCCCAAAAAAAAAAAGTGAATACATATCCGCACGATATCATATACCCCTTAAAATGTAAGAGTTGACATGAAATCTCAGGGAATTAATTTTACTCCGTATCATATTGTTGATAAATAAAAATTGGATGTGTAAGTACAATAGAAATGGTGTTTGATTTAAATTACAAAAATTAAGGGTATTTCTTTAAGATGCAAGCACTGTTTTGAAAACCAAACCAGAACGGCTGGTTTAACCAATCTAAAATCGGTTTGTTGCTTTCGGATTTTAATTAAACTAGAGCAAAACCGGAAAACCCAGAAAAACAGGCTAGGTTTTTTGGTCGAACCGATTTTGGTAAAAAAAAAAAATTAATATCAAATTTTTTAATATTATTTTTTTATAAAAAATATAATATGTTTTAGTATTTTTTTCCTTACTTTTATCCCATTAGTTACATCAATTTTAAATAATAGTTATTTTACTATGTTTTTATCATATTTTAACAATTATTCATCTTACATTTTCTAATATATTTGTAATCTTCATTGTAACTTATCATGACCATGATAATAACCTTTATTATTTTTCTTTCTTTCGTACAAAATTATTATTACTAATGAACTTATTATATACTTGTTATATTATAAAAATGTTATTTTATTAAATTTGAACCTTTAAACTCTGAACTCATGTCTTCACCTGGTCAGGTTTTAAAAACATTGGATGCAAGTTCAAGCCTCGAAATGTGTTTTTCTTCCCAATTGTCATATAATATCATTATTGTTTAATATATTAGCACCTCTAAATTTATCTCTTAGAGGTAGTTTCGATACTATATTATATTATATTTCATTTTTTTCTAATTAGCCGATGTGGACATAAAGGCCCAAGTCCATAACGAGAAGGATCAAGACCAAGATCCAATCCAAGACTTAGGTGGACCTATGACAAGAGGCAGGTTCAGAAAAACACAAGAGGCATTGCAACACAAAATGGATCCGATTATGAGTAATTAAATGGTAAAAATAAAAATTTGCAACTTGAAGGGCTATTCCTAAAGGACCTAACGAAGTCTTAATTGGAATCTTAGGATATCTTTGAATTAGATTAATTCCTTCTTTTATCCCATTGTAATATTTTCCATCGTGGAATGATCGTATTTGAAAACAATTAGATGATGACAAAATTAGAAAAGATCGGCATTTCTCATTTCTATTCAACAACATATGAATAGTTCCATGATTTTGACTAAGTGATTGTTGAACTTTTTCCCTCGGATCCATAGAAAAAAATGGATTGATGTTGGTCCAGTCTGATTCATTATCCAAGATAAATCTGGAATCGGACGGATCATTCCGTTTTCTTATATATGAAATATGGGATTTTACTAAGTCAATTTTTAAGAAATATCTAACCAAACCATTTATACTTACTTCAACAAAAGAAGCATGCGCATTTTCGATAGAAGAAAATTTTTTGTCTTGATCCCAATTTAAGACTAAACAAGTCCGAACTAATTGAATACTTGTATTATAAATTCCCCGAATTGATTTTCCATTTCCAGAAAGAATATAATTAATAACTTGAAGTTCCAGATTATCTCTTTCTTGGAACATATCTTGGGAAAAAAATTGGATTAATTTGATCCTATCTGCTATTTCATATAAAATTACCGGTCGAACCAAAACAAAATACTTTTTTTTCGTAATTGTGATCCATTGGGCATAGATCCAATTTTGAATTTTTTTTTTTGATCCTTTTGAATTTTTTTTTACCGTTCTCGGTGGTATCAACATGGCACTGTGTCGGGATCTCTTATCCATTTCTCCGGGAAAATAGATATTCCCGGAAAATATTTTTAATTGAATCTTTTTTTTTTTCTTCTCCAATCGGACCAACCCACTTACTTGACTTCTTATATTTACAGTGATTGGTGTATCTACTTCAACGATACTATTGTTCCGTACCATTATGGAAGAAAATTCTGGTAAAATATACACTTCTTCGGGAATGAAAAAAAATTGATCTACTTTAATTTGGTATTTTGTCTTAAATTCTTTAACTCCAGGATACTCAAAGCTCCAAACATGGAGGAGTCTAGCCCTATCACATGCATAAAATGTTTGGAGAGCTAGGAGACCCAACTAGAAGATTTAGTAGTTATTATTTTTATTATTATTTGCTACAGTGGGGATTTGAACCCAACACCCAAAGCTTATAATGTCTTCACTGAACCATCAGGGCAACTTAACTTTGCTTGGGATATTAGGATTTTAATTTATCTTTATTTCCTGCAATGAGACAAACTCATAAACTTAAGTTGTATTAAACATTTGAAAATTGAGAATGAAGGTACGTAATATTCAGAATCACTTTGTGAGTTGTTGCTCTGCTAGGGTTCTTCCTTGCATCACTTGATCTTATTAAGAATTATCCAATTCTTGTGACGATCCTTCTTTGCTTATCAAATATTCTTATTTGTGGCGCCTACGGTATCCTTTATGTTTTTCTATTTTCTATTTTCAATCAAATCAACTCTTAAAACCTAACCCTAAATTGTTTTCCTTCTATTCGAGTGTCGTCATTAGCTGGGATTAAGAATCTAGCATTAGTTGTATCAAAAGAGAGAGACTAATATTAGTGATTTAATATAAATGAGGTTAGTGCTTTGTCTTTTTTAACACATTATTACACTCATTTATTATTATGTTCTAGTATTCCAAGTTAGTTTTCTGTTTTCTTCATTAGTGAAAAAAGGGCCAAACATATATAATATGAAAGAACTTTTCAAATTTCTTTGTTTTTCCTCTTACTTGTATTTAACTTTTTTCCCTTTATTATGTATAGGTAAATCTTGTCTGAATAGAAAAATTATTTTATTTGAACAAAATATTCCATTAACTAAAGATATTATGAGAAAATTTAATATATTTTGCAGGCGTCATCAACTACATAAGGAGTACATGGGGGTATCATGGCCTGGTTGAAGCATGGGTGAAGTTGAGGCCCACCATTGTGTATAAATTCAATTTGAAAGAATGATGGGAAGCATTAACTCCTAATCATAGAAGTTCTAGCATCAAGTAAGAAACCAACTCATCTAAAAGCTTGAGCTGTTAGGCACGCCCGCAAATCATTTATTTCTTTTTGACAAAAGACTGAAATCTTACAGCATCAATTATCCACATGGTTTGTTACCTCAACCAACCAGAAACTAACAAACAAGCTCAAATGCAGCTTTTGGGAGAAAAAGAGCATGCCAACAAGCTAAGATGTAACTTTTGTAAGAAAAAGAGCATACCAGTCCAATTCCTATGCCAAATAAAAGTCTCCCAAGCACCAATACAGGAAAATTAGGAGCAAATGCTGTTATAAGGGCTCCAACAAAATATAGTAATGCAGATACAATTAGCTCCCTTCTTCTACCTAAAAGTCAAAATTGTCACGTCAGTTTCACCAGGAAGAAAATAGCAAACATGATAACTGACAAAGGGAGAAATTACCTACGAAGTCAGCAACATTGAAGGCCAACACGGAGCCAATTAAGGCACCATATAATGATCCACTAGTCTGCAAAAGATAGCAAGTGCCATTGCCCCAGCTTATTATCAAGATCAATATATAATTACAAAAGTGAACAAATGTGTCAAATCATGAGAATGATAATACGAAAAGAAAAAGTAGCCATGAACAATTAAAGAAACACAATAATTTAAACTAAACTTACAAGAAGACCAATTTCAACAGAGGACAAATTGTACCAAGATACTCCACTTAGTGTCGGTGACTGCAAATTATACAAACAAAACCATAGAAAATTTACAATTCAATACCAGTGTCCAAAGAAAACCTTGTTTAGTTGAATATGACAAGTAAGCTCAGTCAAAGTAACAAAATAATTGTGTAAGCATAAGAAATACATACTTTTTTATTTTAATATATGAAAAGATAATTACATCATAAATCAGTTCTGTAATACAATGAAAAAGTCTACATTGTTACTAGGACAAGCGAGTTGGCTTCCTAAAAGCTCCATTCTTGGATGCCAACCTGTGGGGAGAATGAAATCCATATTTTTTTCTTTTCAGTTGAGGAAAATGAAATCCTTCAAGTCCTCTAATAAGAATAAATTGCTTTAAGTCTTATATAGTAATCTTCATCTTAGATGCGTTACACACTAGAAGACAGTTGACCCAAATTAATACCAACGTAACAGGGAATATACTAAACAGGGACTTGTTTCTGCCAGCAGTTTTCTAGCTATGGAAAATGACAGACTACACTGAAAAAATAATTTACAAGAGATATAAGTAGAGAGGAAAAGATTGTATAACATGTAAACCTATTGTGTGTCCAGGATATTTAACTACAGGAAATGTTGATAATGAGACACTTATTTGTCTTAAGTATACTTGCTATTATGAATTAGAGCAAAAGTGAATGGAAATGTTGAAACACTACCACATATGATACAGTTATAGGACTCCTAAATGGTTAAGAGCAATAATGGGCAATATCTACAGTCAGCCTGTTTACTATCAATTTAAGTATTTGAAAATAGATATAAGTTAAATAAATTCAATGGTTGCTTACTACACACATAAAACTTGATAAATAGAATTTACAGTACATCAAGGGAGTAATTACAGGATAATACATCCTTCAATTAGGGCTATTAATTTTCCAACCAGTTTTAATAGCAGTTGACAACTAAACATTACATGTTAAACGTGTGCTAAATCTAATCCAAAAATGAATAAGTGGATCTAAGGATAGCATGCCACCTCAATAAAATTCACCCCCAACTAAGTGGAAATGCATAGTAAAAAGAATTTTATGCCTAAACATTACGGTTGCAATATCAATGTACGAAAAGCAGGATGCATATTGTCCATATTAAGACTGTTTCGTAGATGTTTAACCTTTTGAGAATAATGGGAATAACCAGATTAACACCAATTAAGTATCAAAACAATGGTGCCAAACAATATTGCAAACTTTTGATACATATGAGCACACCAAGGGAAAAGATTTAAGAAGGTTACAAACTACAAAGTAAAAAATAGTTTATAAAATAAAGCAGTAATCACATTTTTTCAATCATATCTCTTGAGCTGCCCTGTTGTACTGCTCTTGAGTTGCATCTCTCCCTATGACTTTTATAGGGTGAAAAATATATCTTAAGTCACAGTAAAAAACCAACTAAATAGATCATGCAACTGTTAGAACTGAAAATACATTACTGGTCTATGTCTGATGAAGTATACCGAAAGCATAACATATATACTATGGAAAACAACTAAATCATGAAATTATACTTCAAACAGACAAATAGTAACTAGTGACAATAACTACTGCAGAAAAATATGCAGTCGTTAAATTTTTAAGAGTGCTACACCATCACTTGAATATTATACAAATGTTAAGCCAGTACCTAAATTATAGAAGGGTATACCTCAATGGAAATGGTAGCAGAAGATGTGGCACCAATATCATAGCCAAATAGCAGGCCACCGAAAGCTGGGAAGAGAAATCTGAGATTTTTAAAACGCATTTTAGGTGAGACTACAGGCAGTTAAAAAACAAAGTATCACATAATCTTTTAAAGACATCAGTGGGAGATAATGCCACTTTTCTTATCCAATGTTGTCACGTTGTTCTATCAATCTCAAGCTGAAAAAATATAAAGAAATAAAAAAGGACAAAATTTTTACAAGACATATTAAAATAAGTCAATTATAGATATATAGCATGTGATGCAGGAAAATTTCATTATCTTGGTAAGATAGGATGTTAACTAAAACGTCAAGGTGGAACATAGTATGTAGACATCAAATGATAAAAGCAAAACTATTCACAAGGTATATATTATTTGATCTATGCAAGAATCTCAAATAGGAGTTCTAGGAATCTTGAATTCCATAGGAATCAATTTTCTTTAAAATGAAGGAAACTAATCCTAGAGTCAAATTCATTGCCATGCTGCCTACAACATCCTTACCCGATAATCTTACAAAAAAAAATAACAAAATATTAGTATTTCATGGAAATATAGTAACAAGCCAAATATGTTCTTTATCTAAATATTTCCAAAAAAAACATGATACCCCAGGTCAAAGACCTCTAGCCAACGAGGACTGAGACATAAAATATGTGATTGTGAAAAGAACAGTAGACCCTTCCCCACCACAAAGCAACACGCAATAGCCATCCTCAGTTTAACCTTCATGATTAACACATTTTTTTCATCCAGCAAACATGATGAGCATTACACCTTACAGAAATTACAGTCCTCAACATAACACTAGTTAAAATCTACAGATATTATAGTCCTTGACAAGATCTAGTCCAAGCTAAAAGCAGATCTTATTTAGTTATTTATTGTGATATATTTTTCGACATAAAATACAAAGATGATAGATTTCCTAAGCAATGCATAAAACTTACAAAGAAGGGATCAAAAGCTAATACTCACGGGAGAATTGCAGCAGGGACAGAATAGCTCTCGGAGTCACGAACCCCAATAATCAAAGGCTCCCTTGCACTCCCAATCTCACCAGATGGACTTCCTTCCTAATGAAAGTCAATGCATTTCAAGTGTTGTGAAAGGGAAAATAACACCAAAAGCTAGCAACGAGTTAGTTGAATTGCCAATAAAACAACACAAGGAACAGCTCTGATTGCAATCATTCCACCTATTCATGTTTCAATTTTTTTTTTTACACGGCAAAGCCAAAAATAAATAAATAATGAAGAGCAAAATGCACATAATTCTCAGATTTCATTAAAAAAAAATTGCTAGGCAAGCAAGTACAAGTAAAGGTGCAATTCAGTGTATGCCAAAACCCCAAATGAGGCGGTTCAAGTTGTTCTCGTTGAGCCCATTTCAACGTGAACAAGTACATTTTTTTATGACACCCATTGGTTCGCGACCAACTTCCTTTCTGAATTTCAACAATTTCCTTCCCTCCCAAAATAATTTTTTTTCTCAGAAACCAAACAAAGTTTTCATCCACTCCACACACTGCAACATATATACATATAATTCAAATTCATAGTGGATGGTGAATTACCCAAAGAAGCAAAAAAACGAAAAAGGCATAACGAAAGAACCTTTGCAGAAGAGGGACGAGGGCGTTGCTCAGCATCGGATGCCATTGATTAGGAGTTTACAGAAGTGGTTGAAGAAGAGAAGTGGGGAAAATATATTATAATACGAATAAAGAAACAGTTAACAGAAAATGAAGTGAGATACAGTGAGATAATTGAACGAGAGAGAAAGGGGATTATATATTTTCAAGCCAGCAGCCAGAAATGAGAAACTGTTGGGATGGTGTTTGCTTGTATGCCTTTATAAACATTTGTTTTTTATAGAAAGCAATTTCCATTCCCATGTGCGAATATAGTGATTAAAATATTGAAGTCCATGGGATAGGTGTCTGTTCTTCTTCGTTTCTTTGCCTTCTGATTGTCACAACGTCATGGTTGCGGTTACGAAGATGGCAACGCTCATCCTTTGATCTCCAAATAAACCTAACAAACTCTGCTTCATTTAATATTCATAATTAAAAACGTGGCACCACGTGAACATGTGAATGGTTGTTGATAATATATATAAATAAATATATATTAATTGAACATCCGAGTATGAACATTATCGATTTTGGACAAAATGTAAAAGTATTATCAATTGTTCTGGAAAGTCTCCGCAAAATCAATTTTTAGGGTGTATTATGGGATCTATTCCTGTTATCGGTCTTTGAACGTGTGGTTGTCCATTCGTGTTGTTTAATTCGAGAAATCTTCTATGTGTCTACAGAAACTATGATACTCAGGTAAATAAAGGTATAAATATGATATATTCGTTATTAATGAATCTTTACTTATTTTAAACTATATGTTTATTTATATTATCGTGTTTGGATTTTAGCTTTTAGGCCTTGTTTAGTACCTTGACCGTCACCTTAATGAGGAGACCTTTGTTGGGGTTTAGTGGTTATATGGGCACAATACACGTGACTGTTAGGTCTTGGTGATCATATGGATACAATACATTGGCCGCTCGAATTCCATAAAGTCAATTGGTGATGGAGAAACAAAAGAATGGTACCTTATGAAGTTGTCGATGTATTTTCGCTTATTGACTTTGTAGGTTGGGTGAAGGAGTGGTGCCAAGGCAAAGGGAATGCCCAAATGCGAATGGGCCTTTGGCACAATTTTTTATACTATAATGATAGCAAGATATCTGGGATGTGATATTTCCGTTTTTTGACATGGTTGTCAAATTGGTGGTGTTGAAGGATTGTGATGATTGGACACTTTGATTTCCATGAGTTTTTTTATAAATAGGGGGTTGTTCATTTTACGGGTCATGAGTTGTTTTTTGTTGCCTTCCGAGGATAGACTTAGCTGTTGAGTTTTCGTTTAGGTGGAGATGTTTTCCAATTCTTTTTTTGTTGTGACTGAGGAGTTTTTAGGCAGGATTGTCATTAATGCTCAAGAACTCGCAGGGATAACTTGGATAATCGTGTAACTGCTTTGGGGGTTGGACTGAAGGTGGTGGCGAAGACCTTTTGGATCTAGATGAGAAGGGCCAACTTGTTGCGGAGCGTGCCAAGACTAAAATGTCATTGAGGAGAGGTTACTCTTGGGTTTGTCTTCGTGAAGAGCTACTTTTCTAAGTATCGATGGTTGACTGTGTTGATATCCTTCACCGCGAGTTAGTGTACGGTTGAAGGGGATGGTAATGAAGACTTGTTTTCGGTAAGTAGGTGTAGTGTTATTGACAACGTGTGTCTGAAACATCAATAAAAGGAACCTCTTCAGTCATATCATCATCAACTTGTTCACTACATGTCATGTAACTTCAATAAAATCTGGAATATAATCATTTTCATCAAGACAATTGAAATCACATTACCTGCAGGAAAAAAAAAAGGATGGTACAGGAACAACAACACGGTCTTCTCTAAGAGTGACTGGTTGTGGCGCATTGCTCCCACTGTTCAAATTATCCTCAAAGAATACCGCACGGTCATATTTAATAACCCGGATGGAGTGAGAAGAACAATAAAATTTGCTACCACGAAAACCGATACAATAGCCAATGAAAAATCCACTGACAGACTTAAGATCAAGTTTTTTCAATTGAGGATTATAAGGTCTCACCTCTGCCTTACAACCCCACACATGAAAGTGTCTTACAAGTAATTTGTTGAAGGAGAAAATTTGTGAGGAGGCTTAATAACTCTATTGGATCTCCTTACTTCAACTACTAGAGTGACAAGAGTGATCTCTTCAATAGTCTTGCCTCCTGAGCTCCCACATTTTCCTACAAGATGGTCTTCTGTAATGTTATTTAACATTACCTTTTTCCTTCTACGTTAGCTTCTTTTCATCTAATACTGCATTCTCATTTAATGTAACATCTATGCTTCTAATGATCTTTTTGTTTTGATCACCCCAGAAGCAATATCCCATATCACCTGCTTCATAGCTAATGAAAATGCACTTTCTTACTTTAAGATTAAGTTTGTCTCTGTCAACATCTTTAGCACGAACATAAGAAACACAACCAAATACTTTCAAATAAGAAAGACTTACATCTTTGTCTTGTCATTCCTTCTCAAGAATCTTGAACCCTGTGGGTGTTAATTATAGTTTACATGTATTCATAATTCAAGAATACTACTACATATCATAAAGATCTTAGAATATGATTTTTACATAAATTATAATAGGGAGATACTAACCTTGATCCATTAAAGATCCAATCAAAATACGTTCTTCAATCTCCATTTCCCAATCTATCTTTTTGCCTTTTTTTCTTCTCTCACACTTTCTGATGGTTAACGTGATGATAATTGAAGATCTTGAATATTTGATGAAGTCAAAGGATTTATAGAATAAGGGAAGATTTGATGAAGTTAAAGGATTTATGGGATAAGAGATGTAATGTTGAGTGAGTCTATATCAATATAAATAGGTATAATCATCTATCCATTTCTACAGCATAAGGTTCTATCATTTGAAATGAGTGAAAATGCCTCTAAACTTTTTAATCTGTTAAAAATCATTTTAATTGATTAATATACTCTTAAGTCTCGGATTTAATCGATATATTTATATATTAATCGATTAAAATCAGCTAAAAACATTTTTGACACATTTTTAACTGATGTATTTTCGAAATAATCGATTAAAACCATTTAAAATAAGTGTAAACATATTCTGTCGTAGTTTTCATCGATACATATTCGAATTGATCGATTAAAATCACTTAAAATAAGTGTAAATATGTTATGTCAATATTTTAATCGATTAAACTTCAAATTAATCGATTAAAATCACTTAAGGATTTTTGTATAACTGTTTTAATTTATTAAAACACGTATTTATCAGTTAAAATATTTTTGAAGTGTTGTAGAATATTTTAATCGATAAAATGATATTTTTATCAGTTAAAACAGTTAGAAACAAGATCTTTTAATCGATTAAAAGATGAATTAATCGATTAATTAAATCGGTTTATTAGAGAAATCTCTATATAAACAGATTTGCTTCAATGTTTTAAAAATACATCTTTTAGAAATCATTCAAGCAATCAATCAATAGAGATCTTTTCAAGAAAGAAGCATGTTATTTTCAGTGGAAATTTTTGAAGTTCTTTCTTGAGGCATTTTTGTATGCTTGCTTGTGAAGAAACTCATTTTGCAGTGGAATTTCTGCATATACATAATTGGGTTTGATTGTTCTAGTTTCTTCATTCTTTCATTTCTATTTCAATTTTGTATTGGCTTGGTGTCTGGAAGATTGGGCACTGGTTCTGCAACATCAATTTAGTTGCAGGTTGGATTCAAGAACTAGAAATTGGTTCTTGGTGCAGGTTCAAGGACTGAAATTTGGTTCTTGGTACAGGTTTGGTTCTGCAACTGGAATTTGGTTGCAGGTTGTGTTCAAGAACTGGAATTTGGTTCTTGGTGCAGGTTAGATTATCTGTAATTTGATTTTGTAAATCAAACTATTCAATCTAGTGGAACTCAAATGGAATTTGGTTGAGAACTGGATGTAGTCCAGGGGTTTGAGTGAACCAGTATAATTCTTGGTGTTTCTTTTCCTCTTCCATCACTTTCTTTAATTCTGCTTGAACTTTATTCAATTTAATTTGGTTTTCCTGGTTCAATACTTGATCAGATTTCTTAATCTTTGAAATTGTTAATCTGTATTTGTAAGTTGCAAAAAATTTTGTAAATACCAATACATCCCCCTCTTGATCTCAACCTATAATTCTAACATAACGATGACAAAATCTTATAATCAGTGACAAAACCCTAAAAATATTTTATTAATTAACTTCCATCAAGTTGGTTATTGTTAATTTTTTATTTTATTTTATTATAACTTCCCATAATAATCAATGAGTCTTTATCTTTTATTAAATAACATTTAGGTCCATTATTATATTTCACATGAGTTACATAATTGAATTCATAATTAATTAATTCTAACATTCTCTCACTTGACTCAACGATGATATAATATTTTGTTATTTAATACTTGAATCATAATATGCATTAAAGGACCTTACATAAATTGGTTCTATCATTATTCATAATTAAAGATATAAAAATAATCAAGAGTCATGTAAGTTACATGTCATCCAATCAATATGATCCCTTTCATATACTTACATATTATTCATTTCTCCTTAATATGACTTTACAATGAGCTCAAACATAATGTCAATAACAATAACATAATTTGTTTTCTTTATCATAATTTGCATACATATACATATAGAAGAAAATACAAATTTTAGAAACTTATGCATTAAAGATCTCAAAATGTCACATAAGCATTAATAATAATATTAGCATTCAACATCTAGTAAACATAATGTCTATACTCTCTACATGACCAATAAACAATTTGGGCGGTAAACCTTTTGTTAAAGGGTCAACAATCATAAGATTTGGTTAATATGTTTTATTGACACTCTATGTTTTTTAACTTCTTCTTTAATGACAAAGTATTTCAATTACATATGCTTAACACTATTAGAATACTTGTCGTTCTTAGAAAAGAAAATTATTGTAGAATTATCACAATAAATTTTCAACGACTTGACAATGTTATTGACTACTCGAAGTCTTAAAATG